GAACTGGGATCACTATAGTGGGGGGCGGGGGGGGGAAGCACTAAAGAACTAGAGGAATGTTGTATGTTTTGTCGGTGCTATACTGCACCCTGGCTGACTTGTCCCTTCCTTGTGACCCTTCTGTGTGGGGATGTCCAATTGTCTACAGATGGGCTTTGGGTCTCCACTCTGACTTTGACTCACCTAACTGTAATTGAGAAGGGTTATTACACTTTTTACAAGGATTGTTGGTGGCCCAGCAGTTAAGCGCTCAGTTAAGATATTCTGTTTCAACCCATCAGCTGCTCTAAGGAATAAAGATGATACCATCAGCTTCTACATATATTTAAAGTCATGTAAACCCTATGGTTTATATAGTAGGTGATGGCATAGTAGGTTACTCCTTGGGCTGTTAATCCCAAGGTTAGCACTTTGAAACCACCAGCTGCTCCACCAGAGAAAGATATGACTCTCTATTCCCATAAAGAGTTACCATTTTGGAAAGCCACTGAGGCAGTTCTGCCCTGCCTTACAGGGCAGTGAGTCAAACCCTATACGTCACTACTACGCTGTCCTATATGGTTCCTTAAGATTTGGAATTAGATTTATGATTAGGATTAGATTAATTTTCAATGATATGAGTTTATGCATTTTACATTTTGCATATCAAATAGCAATGTAACAGTTTAAAATTTACTATAATTGAGATGTAACAAATATATAATAAAATAATTGTATTTTTCTCTTATAGATAATTATAACTGGAAATAACCCAAATTAATAAAGTTAAGTTTTATTCATAATAAGTTTTCTAAAACATTTTAGAAGTTGTCATCCTTAGTTCTAAACATTAGTTAGAAAAGTTTGGAGCATTATCCGAAACTTAAAAGCAAAGAGTAGTGAGCCGCTAGAGAACGCTGGAATTCACATTTTAATGCTCTGCTGCGGCTGTTAGGTGCCATGGAGTCCGCTCTGCCTCGTGGCAAATCCATGACAAACCAAACAAATGCTGCCCCGCCCGCCCCGGCCTCCCAGCTGCTCTGTCAGTTGCAGCCGCAGTGTCAGTCCATCTCCTGGAGGGTCTTTTCCGTGTCCCTAGCACACTACTACTCTACCACCATAGTGTGCTGTGTTCGCATAACTGACCCGGATTGTTTCTCACTTTGACTCAGTCTTTTTCTGTGAAATACAGTTTTTTAGCACCTTGTTTTCAGCATCAGCTGTTTGGTCTTAAGAGAAAACGAGTCACAGAATAAGCAGTGAATTCCCTTTCCTCCCGGAGGGTTACGTCTCCCTATGTTTATGGGTATGCACTTATATATATCTCAAGAGGTTAATTTGCCCGGTTTTGTCCCCCTCCTTTCCTTTCCTCTCCTCTTCTTTCCCTCCTTCAGCCAGCCTGACTCTTTATGGCTTTGAGAACACAGGAATTCAACTATCTGCACAGGCACATTCCATAGAAACTGGCTTTCAGTTGTGAACGTAAAACATGATGGACTTACTCCTGTGGCTTTTTGGTCTTATCCCGAGAAGAACGAAGCACAAGAGCCCCTCAAGAGCCAAGTGTGGTGTCTGTGATCTGGTCACAGCCAGTGCTCTGTGACGATACGTCGTTTATGTCGAGCTCAGCAGCACGACTGCAGAGAATGGACTTTTCAGCACATTTCCGAACACCGCACTGGGAGCATTGAACTCGAGACGTCTTTCAGAAAGGGAAATTAAGTTCCTATATTTATTTCTTCATTCACCTATCGGGATGAAATGAGTCGTCTTTGGCCTTCTCGGCCTACTATAATCAGTTCCTTCAGAAAAGCTTAGTACTCCTTCCCAAGAACTACGTGAAATGTATTCTGCTTTGAAAATGGATTTGTATGTGCTTTGTTAGTATTTAGGAGCCCTGGTGGCACAGTGATTATGAGTTGTGCTACTAAGCAAGATCAGAAGTTCAAAACTCCTAGGCGCTCCTTGAAAGAAAGATGGGGCTTTTTACTCCTGTAAAGAGTTATAGTTAGGGCAGGTTCTACCCGGTCCTGTAGGGTCACTGCGAGTCAGAATTGACTTGCTAACAGTGAGTTTGAGTGTTTTTGTTTTTGTTTGGTTGGCTGGGTTTTTTTAAGCATTTCCTTTAAGTTTTAAAACTTAAAGTATAAGCCAGGTTCTAAAAATTAAGTGTCTTGTGTTCCAAGAAAGTAACTCACCAAAGAATATGGTTTCTTAACCAAACGAATGACGTGCAGATAGGTGTGCACATGCTCTGGCTACTCCTCTCTGCCCTTTTCTTTGTCCCTTTCCACAAGAACCACTTTGCAAGACTTGCCGTTTGTCATGTAGTACCACATAACCTAAGAAAAATTACCCTACATATCTTTAAGTTCACTGTAAGTCATCCCATAGAAGAGACATTTGTTATCAATACAATTTATTGCTAAGTGTTTTCTTTGGTATCATTATACATTGAAGGGAAGAACTGGCTTAGAATTGTACATACTCTGTTTCCCCGAAAATAAGACAGTGTCTTATATGAATGTTTGCTCCCAAAGATACACTAGGTCTTATTTTCAAGGGATGTCTTATTTTTCCATGAAGAAGAAT